GCGCTTATATATATATATATATTATTTTTTCTTTTGTGAAAGAGCAACGGTGGCTCCCTACGCGTTAATTAAAATAAAAGATACAGAGAATGGAGGGGGGAGGATCCCCTTCTAAGAAACCAAAAATACGTTTAAACACACCCCTAAGGGTTCCTCTCCCCACAATACAACTCACACAAAAAGAAACTTCCAAAATTACAGATATACCCAAAAGAGGTACAGAAAAAATCTCTGATTAGATGATTATCCAAAAGCAATCCCACGAGCAGACCAAAGAACCGGCATGCCGCAATCCAAAAAGATCGAAAACAACTCTCCCCAAAAGTCCAAAGCTTGAGACGATCGGATCCTTAGCCTGCATCCTAAAAGGGCTGAAGAAATAAAAAATAAAGTGTAAACCAATTTTAAAGAAAATATAAAGGTGGTCCTCCTTCCTCTAGCATCCAAACAGTAAAGGCAATCCAACCAATCGTAACAATGCCACCAAAATTATAGGGAAACAGAGAAAGAAGACGAGCCATGGGCCTCCAAATGAGAGCCAAATTGTGCACAAATAGACCCCAAGTGAAAATAATGCATCTCATTAAGTCTCCAGAAACTATAGTCCCCAACAAACCTTCCCTCAATATAACACCTTCCCACAAACATCACCCCAGTAGCAAAGGAGCCCTGGGCCTCCTTGCTAGAGATGAAGCAGGAAGTATAGGACAACCCGGAAGAAAAAGCAAAAACCCCCCAGAGTAAACTCTCAGCCTGTAACCCGCATATATCCCCATCTCCAACAACCTCCCAAAAATGACTCATCAGAGGGAACCTCCAAACCCTCCAATCTAAAAGCAAAAGGCTCAACATCACATACTTCTCGAGAAGAAAAAGCATTAACCCAATCATCCGCATCTAAGCAGCCCCCAAAGAGGAGTAACAAAGAGAGATATCCAACCAGGACACATCAAAGGCTGAACCCAGCCACTCGACCACCAAACATATTTCAAGGTAATGCATAAGTACAAATATAAGGAGTTTTCAAATTATCCCCCACCAGCAAAGTATAGAGAGGAGGGAGAACTGCTCCCACCCTACAAAACTAACTAGAACCTTCCAAATTAGCAAGCCAATTTGCAGGTTGATTACCCTCCCGATAAATAAAATTTCAAACCACATTCATATTGGAAATAAGACCATTAATCATTCTAACATAATAAAGAATATCCCAAGGAGTATCGGCACCCTTATTAAAAATATCAATCAATGAGCGATTATCACATTCAAAAATATCAATAGCTCTAGCCTCAGCCTCAAGAGGGGAATCCGCAAAAATAGGAGAGGAGAAAAAAATAATACCCTTTCCATAATGATTCCTAGCAATGCCCCAACACCCAACACTAGAAACCTTCCAACTCCCATCAATGTTAAATTTAACCCACCCTCTAGGGGGTGGAGTCCAATTGACCAAAATAGGAGGACGCGAGACTCTTCTAACAGCCACATTCATATTCCCCAATGCCAGGAAATAATTAATACCTGAGAAGAAACCTTGTTTGGAATTACCCAAATGTAAAAATGATGTTAGTGAAAACCATCATTTTATGAATCTCATTGCCCTCATGAATAATATCATTCCTAGTCATCCAGATAAACCAACAAATGATATAAGGATATATTTCTCAGAAGAGTTTTTTCTTACCATCCGGGTTG